CGCAATGCAATGCAACACTGAACGTATAGTGACTTTGGTCGTTAGCCAAAATTAGAATCTATAAATATTAGTAAACAATTACAATTATGCGTTTAGAAACACACAGCTTTGCTAAATTTACAATTTGCGAACTCTAATCAGTTTAAGTTACGTAAAAGTTTATATGAAATTGTAATAGTTATAAAACACACTAAATCTGGAAAACGTATAAAGTTAGCAAATAACTTTATTAAACTTTCTTGTCCGATTCGTCTTCAAACAGTCGCTAATTCAATTTCGTTTCAATACGTAAAGTTTCAACAAACTTCCGGTTTAACCGGAAGTACAATTTTAAATGTAATAAATCTTCATGAAGAGTAAATTTTAAGTATTTTCAGGTAATTTATAACGATACAATTGATTAATTTAGTTTAAATTGTAAATATAAATTATAGAATAGTTCTATAGATTTAACAAACAATTTAATTTATAAATCTATTTGCTAGAAAACAAGAATGCATATCTGATTAGAGAGGGATAGAGAGAGAAATAGAGAGACAATTAGGTGTGAAATTGCATCGGATTCGCAAACAGTTCATTCTTCTAGTCTACTTGGCTCGCTAATGCTTCGATAAAATTTTTCCTCGGAGAAAACGAAAAGGCTTGCACGGATATAACGAGCTACGCCAAATTGAATTCCACAATCAGTCCATAAGTATTTACTTATTTTAATTTTCCTTCTCGTTTCCATTTCCACTCTTCTACACTTATCATATAATTCTTTATTCATTTCATAACACAAAATCTATACAAAAAGATATTTTTATTTCGTCTCCTCATCTTCATTTATTACATAAAGCTATATATTGCGGCTTCGATTAGTCCGGATTCACTATAGTCAGGTTTGAAATTACAAACTAAAAAATGTAATTCAGACAAGTCTCTTTTCATGCAGTTTATTTCTCTTAGTTTCTCGATTAATCCGGTTTCAAATAGTCCGGTCTACGCGATAAGTGTTTACTTATTTTTTCTTTCTTTTCTTTCACGTTTCCATTTCCACTCTTCTGCACTTATCATTTAGTTCTTTATTTATTTCATAACACAAAATCTATACAAAAAGATATTTTGATTTCGTCTCCTCATTTTCATTTATTACATAAAATTATATATTGCGGCTTTGAAAATACAAACTAAAAAATTTAATTCAGACAAGTCTCTTTTAGTGCGGTTTATTTCAATTAGTTTCTCGATTAATCCGGTTTTAAATAGTCCGATCTATGCGATAAGTGTTTATTTTATTTTTTTCTTTTCTTTCACGTTTCCATTTCCACTCTTTTACACTTATCATTTAGTTCTTTATTCATTTCATAACACAAAATCTATACAAAAAGATATTTTTATTTCGTCTCCACATCTTCATTTATTACATGAAGCTATATATTTCGGCTTCGATTAGTCCGGATTCACTATAGACAAGTTTAAAAATACAAACTAAAAAATGTAATTCAGACAAGTCCCTTTTCGTGCGGTTTATTTCTATTAGTTTCTCGATTAATCCGGTTTCAAATAGGCCGGTCTATGCGATAAGTGTTTACTTATTTTTGTCTTAATTTCTTTCACGTTTCCATTTCCACTCTTCTGCACTTATCATTTAGTTCTTTACTTATTTCATAGCACAAAATGTATACAAAAAGATATTTTGATTTCGTCTCCTCATTTTCATTTATTACATAAAACTATATATTGCAGCTTCGATTAGTCCGGTTTCACTATGGTCAGGTTTGAAATTACAAACTAAAAAATGTAATTCAGACAAGTCTCTTTTCATGCAGTTTATTTCTCTTAGTTTCTCGATTAATCCGGTTTCAAATAGTCCGGTCTACGTGACAAGTGTTTACTTATTTTTTCTTTCTTTTCTTTCACGTTTCCATTTCCACTCTTCTACACTTATCATTTAGTTCTTTACTTATTTCATAGCACAAAATCTATACAAAAACATATTTTTATTTCGTCTCCTCATCTTTATTTATTACATAAAGCTATATATTTCGGCTTCGATTAGTCCGGATTCACTATAGTCAGGTTTGAAATTACAAACTAAAAAAATGTAATTCAGACAAGTCTCTTTTAGTGCGGTTTATTTCAATTAGTTTCTCGATTAATCCTGTTTCAAATAGTCCGGTCTATGCGATAAGTGTTTACTTATTTTTTTTCTTTACTTTAACGTTTCCATTTCCACTCTTCTACACTTATCATTTAGTTCGTTATTTATTTCATAACACAAAATCTATACAAAAAGATATTTTTATTTCGTCTCCTCGCATTCATTTATTACATAAAACCGGCTTCGATTAGTCCGGATTCACTATTGTCAGGTTTAAAAATACAAACTAAAAAATGTAATTCAGACAATTTCTATTAGTTTCTCGATTAATCCGGCTTCAAACAGTCCGGTCTATGCGAAGTATTTACTTACAGAACATTCTTTTCATTAATGATCGTTTTGTTAATAACAAATCAATGTCAAAAAGTGAAGATGAACACTGAAGAACAAGAAAAAAAAACAAACACATAACTAGTAAAGTATGCACAAGATTACGTCGTGATCACTAGTATTTAACATTGAACTTTATAATTAAACTATCATTATCTCTGCAGTTTCCAATAATACAATTATCTGTGATTTCGTGATTTCAGAAAAAAAAAGTATATACAATAATGATACCCTATAAATTCCAAAATAACGTCATATAATTGCAATAATAAAAATTACATAATTAAATAAATAAAAACATGAGTTGATTATTGTATAATAAAATTTTGATTTCAAAATAAACTTAATAAGTTTAAGTATTTAAAAAAACAATTATTACAAACAAAACAAAAATAATTCATAAATCTTAATTTATAGTTGTTTTTTTTTAATTATATTATAAATGAATCAAAGAGAAATATTTCAATTAAACAAAATCAACAAAAAACAACAGAAAAAAAATGAATGCTATAATGTCTTAAGTCATTGAGAAAACAAAACAAAAGAAACAAATTGCATTAACAAAACAATATCGAAACAAACTTGATCTTACAAAGGTTCGCTGATAAAAGTAAACAAAAACAAAGTAGGTTACAAGATCGATAATTGTTGCAGCAATATTTCAAAACCGTCGATCTGAAAAGTCAAGTTTCTCGGAACAATTTCGTGGTGGCGTTTCTGCACCTTTTATTATTATTTTTTTTACTTCTTCGCCGATTTCAAACGGATGGAAAATCTGCGATTTCACGTGAAAAAAAAAACAATATATATATATTATGTGTTAAGATCAAGGCAATCAATTGTTTCGTGCAGCCGACTACATTTATATAGAAATGGAAGGTGGAATGGTTGATCGAGGATCACGAAGCACCTTCGGGCACAACTTCTTTGCTAGGTTGATTGAAATCCACGCGACGCGCCCATTCCGCCGCGTCTCATCCTCGTCCAAGATGTGAAAAAGGTTAAAAAAAGACGGAATAATACAATTATTACACTATATACACTATATAGCATCAAAAACAAAAGCATCCTTGATACGAAAACAAAATACGGATAATTTCATCAGACATTAATTTATGACACGCTGACCTCAAATTTTTACAACTTTTCAAACATTTACCAAAATACTAATTGTAAACATTAAGAATGCAACACAATAACAATTGCTACAATTAGTATTTGATAGATTTAAAGCAATTATGCAATACTTGCAAGAATATTTTGGAAACCAACTAAATATAACAAAAATACATTTCAATCAAATAAAAATTATCGTAAAAATAAGGTAAATAGTTCAAATCCAATTTAGAAGATAATTAAAAACAAAACTAGTTTAAAAATCTAATTTGGTCAGGTTGGAACTAATAAATTCACCACAAACAATTCAACTAAAAAAAAAAGTAGTAGACAAGTTGCATTCGTTGGCAGCATATGTTTCGCATTCGGCGGACAAAGGAATTCGAAAAAGTCTCAGAGCACTAGACTGAATTGAAAACAATGTTTTTTTTTTCTGTTGCTCTTCATCTTCTGGTATCCATTATTCGCTCTCACTACTGCCCCTTTTTTTTCTTCGTTTTATTCTACATATTTTTATTTTACACTTTTTGTTGCTCAATTCCAAAAGAAGACTTCTTCGTGTGGTGAGTCAGCTAATAAAATGGCAAGACTGGATTGCATTTAATCCAGCCAGACACGCCACAATCCTGTACTCTTTCGCTCTATTTTAACATCCACTTTTGCACACACACACATTTTGGTTTCGCATCAAAAACGACACATTTCGTTTTGTTTCCTTCTTCGTAATTAATTTATAAACACTTCTCGCTTTCCGGTCGGATTACGTAATTGTTGTCATTCCGAAACGCGGCACGTGTAAATGAGAATGAATCAAATTAATTAAATACATCGAAAAACTTGTTTTTTTTTTAATTCAAAATTGTAACAAAAATGTGTTTAATATAATTTGATTCGTTAATTAATTAGTCTTTAATATATTTCAACATATAAAAAAAAAGTTATTTACTTCTTAATATACAGTTATATGAATGAAATTGAATCATTGATTCTAGTTGTAAATCGAAACATATGGCTGCTTTGCAGTATTAATTATTTTACTACAGTTTTCAATTTTATTCTTATTTATTTATTTTATGTATTAAAGAATGAAGATAAACTTATATGATTTTGGACCTACATTTGAACTATTTTATCATTTAGTATACTTTATTGCTCTAGACTTGAAAAAAAAAATCGGAATTTCAAAAATTAGTTACAATTTTTATTTTGTTAATTAAGAAAGTTAATTAAGTCTATTTTTTTTTTCTTAATTAAACAAAACATGTAGCCAAATTACAAACTCTATTATCATCAAGTATAGTTTCCAGAAATTTCAGGTAAAAATTTGAAAAATTGAAAATTTTTGAACTAATTGATTTAAATAAATATTGAAACTAAATATAAAATTGTTTTGTTTTTTTTGCAGATAAAATACAGGTGTGTTTGGAGCGACTGGTGTTGTGTATTGATTGTAACGGTTAAAAGAACCGGCTCACTTCTTCACCTATACCTCGAGGGCCACCGAACGAACACCGATTTCATTAAGAATTTTGATGATTTCTTCACCGAATTCCTTCTCTTTAAATCTTGACTGACTCCCAACAACTCCCAACGCGCACTCACACCAAAAGCGAGAAGTGGAAAAAGCGCAGCAACATTTTTTGGATTTACATTTTATATACACAATGCACCAAAGCCACTGATTCTTCGTTAAGAAACAAACAAAAAAAACAACAATAATTAAAGTAAGTTTAAATAAATTAGAAAATAAATACAATTTAAAGTTTTGCAATTAATATTTTATAAAAGATTCATAGACTTTAATGAAAGTTTCAAATTAGAATGAATAATTTAAAAGACTTATTTTGTATAAATAATTACGATTTTGCATTTATAAACTTTAGCATTATAATCAAAATGATATTTATCTATAATTATAGGTTTGCTCAAGAAAAAAAACATCGAAAACATGCAAAACTTTTTGTTCAGCAAAATATATATCGATGAATCATACACAAATTTTGCGTATTCTAATCATAGTTTTAGAAACTAAAGGTTAATTCCTAGAAGTTAAAATAAGAAATGATTGAATACACACTTCCATCGATGACTCAGAGATTTCAATAACTAACTCCATTAAGCCAATATCCCGTACTGTTTGAAACCGGTCTAATCGAGGACTTTAAAACCTCCACTGAAAGAAACTTTATACAGTCAAGAGAGAGAGGAAAAACGATAAATTATATACAAGAACTGAATTGTGTGCAAATTGTTTGGAATTAATTTTGCTTAATTAAAAATTAAGTTTTGAAATTTTCAATAATGAATCCGCACTATGCGAGGTATTGCTGTATTTTGTATTCATAACATAATAATACTTCAAATTATAACTATACAAATCTTCAGACTTTTTAGCAATTAATGAAATCACACACTTCTATCGATTATTCATAGATTTCAATAACTAACTCCATTAAGCCAATATCCCGTACTGTTTGAAACCGGACTAATCGAAGACTTTAAAACCGCACAGAGGAAATACGATAAATTATATACAAAAAATTAATTGTGTGCAAATTGTTTAGAATTCATTTTGCTTAATTAGTTTTGAAATTTTCAATAATGGATCCGCACTAATCCAATCCGCACTATGCAAGGTATTGCTGTATTTTGTATTTATAACATAGTAATACTTCAAATTATAACTATAAAAATCTTCAGTCTTTTTAGCAATTAATGAATACAGATATGTTATAGAAACGAGACAAAGTTAATGATGTATTTGTCTTTGAAAGAAAGTGAAATTAGTGTTGAAATTAAGGCCAGGATGCAGATAATTAAATGTGTTACGATCATAACGTATTTTCAATTTCATTCCCACACATCATCAGATGTTTACAAACGCGTTTCGCGGAGATAACGTGCGAGATGATATAATAATGCGAAAGGAAGGAAATACGTCAGTCTGCTACACTTTCTATGCGCAATTTGACCAAAGGCGAGACACTCTCCTGAGAAAATCACTTCGTTTACAGATGAAGTATAGACGGATTCTAATAACTGCGTGCATAATATTCTGGTTAAGACAATTATAATGAAATTAGTGAAACGCAATACGATATCAACACTTTACGAATGTGCGGCGGATATATCCGCCCAACCTTTTATTTTACAGAAAACTATGCTCATGCAAAATTGTATGTTTTTAACTAGTCTCTTTCACTTAACCCATAATCAATTTGATTTAATATAGAAAAATGTACATTTTATAAAGTTCAGACAAAAAAAAAATTGGACTTGAAAAATCAATTATTTATTTAAATTTGTTTTACGTCTAAATTTTACAAAATTTACTGAAATTCAGATTATTTTTCAGAATTTCATGAAATTTTACACACTACAATATTACAATAGGAGAAACGAGTTAAGATTACACAAATTTCAATATTCCCAAATAGTCCAATAAATTCTTATTGGACAAACTAAAATGAACATTACACACATAAAAACGATTTAGCATTACAGAAACACTTCCATCTCTCGAACTCTTTTCTATTTCTCCTCCGCATGAATGGCATTTCTTTCAAACGAAACTTAAAGTTAGCCTATAATCAATTTGATTTTATGTAGAAAAATATACATTTTACAATGTTTAGCAACAATTCATTTAGACGTGAATTAACATTTTGTACTAAAATTCATAGAAAAAATGATTTAACATTAGAGACTCACTTGTATACAAATTTCAATATTCCTAATAAATTCTGATTGGACAAACTAAAATGGACATAACACACATAAACCGATTTAGCATTACAGAAACACTTTCATCTCTCGAAAACTCTCTTCCATTTCTCCACCGCATGAATGCCATTTTCCACGTAACAATTAAGCAAGAATGCGAAAGGGTTTCTTTCGACGCTTTCGCATTTTGCATTCGCGAGTTCAAGGCCCGAAACACCCGAGTACACAAATTGATACGGAGACGACGAAGCCGAGCCCGAATAATTCGCATTGTTACATAATTATTCCTGCAACACAACACATAATCGTTCAAATATTTACACGTAATTATAAAACGCGCGCGCGAAATTCGAAACTTCGACAATTAAACAGTGCAAAGAAAACTGTACAAATAACAACATTTACGAAATTAATCCAATTCCAATTCGGAAACAAATCGAATAAAACAATTGGATTCAATTGGATTTAATTTAATTAATTTTGTTTTCGTGTCATTTTTTTTTTCTTCTTCCTGTTTCTGTTTCGCCACCGCACATATTCGAAACTAACTGTACGTTATTGTTATTATTGGTCCCGATTCTGCATATCCGATGACTAGATTTTTAATTGACGAATTGACTAATGCTATGCAAATTCTGTCCCACGGCCTACTTTGCCTTTTACGAGACGCACGCAAGCGAACACTCGCATAGATATTTATTATATAATATAATCCGCAACGTCGCAACAATGAAAGAAACGGAAGAAAAAAAACGTTAGATTTTATTTGAATTACAAATTATCAAACATTTTCATTTGTTAAACATCAAAATTCTAATTAAATCCAATTGAATCGTTTGTTTTCATTATCAAACAATTCACATTTTAAAGACTAGATGGAGCCATCATCTGTAATCTTTTACATTAAGATAATCTTTATAATCTAAACGTTCAAAAAGTGTTTCAGATTAAAAAAAAAAATGTTATCTAAATATACAAAATCTACCTCACATAGTTCCGGTTTCGGTTTGTCCGGATTCACTATAATTAATAGATTCTCTATAAAGTTTGTCTCTTGAAAATTGTCAAGATATTAATAAAGTTTACTATTATAAAACAATTACAAAAACCAGGTTGGATCTTGTAATCTTTTGATTAATTGGTATTTCGAAAGGTGACAGAATAAATAAAAAAAAGTGCATAAATCGATATGAAATTGTAATTTTGCAACTGTAAATAAAAATGTTAAGAACGTGACATAAACTATGCAATTAATGCACATAACTTAATCACCAAAACACGTGCTGTGTTCATTCTTTAAGTATTTTTTTTTTGCATCAATAAGACCTATTATTTCCACATGAACAATTAACATGCAAATGAAAACTGTACAATTGTCGATACGAACATAATAAAAAAAATTGTTTGCAAATTAAAAATGTACAAAAATGAATAGAATTTCCATATTTCAACTATATAAAAGTAAATGCTGGATTTATAAATAGTTTAGATGTTAAAAATTGGAAAATTGTAAATTTACAATCATTGTTTAACGAATAAATCGATATAATATTAGTTGGAAGCATATAAAACATGAACAAAGGATTCCAAATATTTACATATTCCAATTATTGCTCTTTGATGTAACCGTGTATGATACTGCAAATTTTAAAAAAAATAACTGTACAAAAATCACAAAGAGAAGAAAAAACAGCAAGTATTTCCATATTGCAGTTACCATGGAAATTATCTAATTACTGTTGCTAATGGAAATAACAAAATTATACAAAAAAAAATCAATCCAAGAACCAAAGTCCAGTATTTACATATTGCTATTGAAACTGTACAATTATGAACATAGTTAAGTATTAAAAAACTGTACAAAAGTAAAGATTGAAAAATATAAAGATTGGAAATAAGATTGAAAAACCAAAATCTGCATATTACAATATTGAAAGTGTAAAAGTATGAAACTTTCGTTAAGAAATTTACTGTTTGGAAGCGAAGGAAATAGCAAAGCGAGTCAACTGAAAACTAATCGAAACTCCTTAATTAAACGCAAACAGTTTTACTCCTCTCTTTCTTTTTCTCCTTACTATAATGTAAATTTACAATCATTGTTTAACGAATAAATCGATAGATTATTAGTTCGCAGCATAGAAAACATGAACAAAGGATTCCAAATATTTCCATATTCCAATTATTGCTCTTTGATATAACCATGCAAATTTAAAAAAAAATAACTGTACAAAAATCACAAAGAGAAACAAAAAACAACAAGTATTTCCATATTGCAGTTACCATGGAAATTATATAATTACTGTTGCTAATGGAAATAACAAAATTATAAAAAAAAAATCAATCCAAGAACCAAAGTCCAGTATTTACATATTGCTATTGAAACTGTACAATTATGAACATAGTTAAGTATTAAAAAACTGTACAAAAGTAAAGATTGAAAAATATAAAGATTGGAAATAAGATTGAAAAACCAAAATCTGCATATTACAATATTGAAAGTGTAAAAGTATGAAACTTTCGTTAAGAAATTTACTGTTTGGAAGCGAAGGAAATAAATATCAAAGCGAGTCAACTGAAAACTAATCGAAACTCCTTAATTAAACGCAAACAGTTTTACTCTTTCTTTTTCTCCTTTCTTTGATGGGGAGAAAGGGTTTGGCGGTTACGGAAATTAACATACTTTGATATTAATGAAGAGGGCATACACCTATCAAAGAACCCAATTAATCCACTGCAAACGAAAAAAAAAAGAGAGATTAAGTTACGACCGGCAAAGACAAAGCCGTTTTCCTTCGTCTGCGCCCTTTTTTTTTTATTTTCATTCTGTCTCACACCCCCTTTTTTAGTTTGCAAAAAGAACCTTCGCTAATCCCTATGAATAATTGCTGTGGAATGCGTAATTATGGATTGTCTCCGATCATCTTCACTGTTTTAATGAGGCGTGTTTGCAGCTTAGGCTGAGCGAGCGTCCTCGAAGATCGGCCGAGCCCACGCATTCCGGCATTTCAAAAAAAGAGACAACATTGCTGTTGTTGTTGCTGCTGCTGCTGCTTCTACTGCAACTACATCCAATCTTCTGTTTCAGGTCATGAGGCGCGGCGGTCCTTTTCTCATCTTTTTCTTCGCCGTCCTTCTGGCGATGGCAGCAACTGCGCCCTGCCCTTGGCCCAGGGACCTGGTGGACCTCCAATCCGCGTGTCTCTGCTCCTACAACTCGGGTCAAGCGTTGAGCGTTCAATGCGACATGGTGGAATGGCCCAAACTGCACGCGGCACTCCACAAGTACGCCAGATCCACGCAAATCGACCTCCTCTACGTGAACAACTCGACGGTGGGAAGCCTCAAGGAGGCGACCTTCCACAGTTTGGAGCTGCACAACATCCAACTCTCCGGCTGCCGCATCAAAACCATCAGCGAGGAAGCGTTCAAAGGACAGGAAAAGACGCTCAAGAACTTGAACCTGCAAGACAACGATCTGACCGAAGTGCCCGTAAAAACGCTCAAAGAGATGACGAATTTATCGCTTCTGGACCTTTCGCGGAACAGGATTACCGAAGTCCCGGACGGCGCTTTCGAAACCTTAACAAAACTAGCCACACTGAAACTGTCAGACAACGAAGTCACTTTAGCGCCTGCGGCGCTGCGCGGCTTGGAAGCTTCATTGAAAAACTTGAATTTAAAAGGGACACGGCAAAACGCCATTCCTCAAGCGATTCGCGGCATGAAGACTTTAGCCTTCTTGGATCTATCGCACAACAGTTTGAAGGAGTTGCCGGGAGATGGCGGAATTAAAACGTTCGAGGGTTTGGAAGCTTTGACAGCGCTCAACTTGGAGCGCAATCGGATCGGAAGTTTAGGAGCGACCGCGTTCTTCGGCATTCGCAACTCTTTGACTTCGCTGAGTCTTTTGAACAACGTGCTTCCCGATTTTCCCATGGAGGCTATGCAATCTTTATCCGAACTCAGGGTGCTCGACATCGGCTTCAACTTGATCACTGAACTACCTTTGAGTTCGCTGAGCGGAAACCCTTCCATCACTCTGTTGGCTTTGGACGGAAATCCTTTGGCCACCATCCCGTACGGCGCTCTATCACATCTGAACAACACGCTCAGAGGTTTGAGTTTGGGTGGAAGGTTCCTGCACTGCGATTGTCACATGGCCTGGGTCATAGATTGGATCAAGAACGGGGATCTGCAGGTGACGAGCAGAGAGAGGAATCCGCAGTTTTGCGCCAGCCCACCGAAATTCAGGGAGAGAGGTTTCTACAGCATCCAACCTGAAGAGTTGACTTGCAGCAACGATGGTGTAGGGATTGCTACGGTTGTGAGCGCAGATTTGGACGACGTCTCCGTGGCCGAGAGTGTGCCATCGCCTAAGAGCACCACGACTACAACGACGACGACTACAACGACCACTACTACTACTAAACCAACGACGACCACCAAAGCTACAACGACCAGCACCACGCAACTATCCACGACCAAATTAACGACCACAAGCAAAGCTCCCAACAAAACCATCCCCAGGATAACATCATCACCAAGGAAAACGCAAAAGCCTTCTTTGGTAATGGGATTCCCGTCTCGCAGCAAACTGGACGACAGCAACGACGTGATCGTTAAGAACGCCTACAGACAAGACAATTCCGTGATAATCCAATGGGGCTCGGACACCGTCAACATCCTGGGTTTCCGGGTGGTCTACCGCCTCTTCGGCGACAAAACTTTCAAGCAGGGACCTCCGCTGGAGGCGAGCGAGCGCGAATTCAAGATAAAAAACGTCCCGTCACAGGTGAGTCTCTCTTCTATCGTCGCGTTACGGAATGACTTCAATTATCGAATTAGCATTACCATCGGTAAAACGCGAGGGCAATTAGAAGAAATGCACTTCGCTCTTCAACTCCAATGCTTTCTAAATGCAAAGAGTTTAGTGCACGCTCGCATCATCGCCGCTTTATGTAAGTGGATGAGCTACTTTGTACAATGGAATGCGGCCTCCGGTGTAATTAATATTGAACTGCGTGCACCGAAAGAAAACATTTCTTGCGAATCATCCGATATCTCTTGAAGGATATCGATTCCGCTCTTCGGCTCTCATCTGAAACAAAAAACTGAAAACACGAACTGAATCTTGATGGGCGAGCGAAGCGAGTCCTGAAAAGCGACGTTGCTTTCTTGGATTCATTTCAGTTTTCATTTAAAAACAATACAATAGATGACGTTGTTACATAATTACACAGAACGTATTTAGTTTAATTGCTTCATTTTCTAAGTAAACAAGAAAACGCAATTTAGATGTGACATGTTTTCTTCCGAACTCTTTCTTTTATCACTTCCTTCGCCCGGATTTTGTTAATCCGATTTCGCCTATTCATGAAATCAGGTTTTCTTTCAATAGTTACATAATATAATAGTTACATAATTAGATTTTTCAATTAATCGCTTGTATGCTTGTACAGGAATGCATGGTGGTATGCGTTGTCACCCTGGAGGACATCAACGTGACCCCGGAGACTGTCCCTTACGGACAATGCCGTGAGGTCAGAACTGTGCAGACGGCCTCTTCGAACATGGACAAGATCACGATCGCAGCGAGCGCGGCGATCTGCGGCACCATCGTCGTCGCCGTCATCGTGTTCGTCGCCGCATCCAGGAGGAGATCGAGGAAGCTGCACGAACTGCACCAGCAGAAACTCGGTATGAAAACGGGAATTCCGATCGCCGGTCTTCCGGTGAACTGTTGCGCCGCCGCCAGTCCGGGCGGACCACTCTCGTCCTTGGCCACCCTCAACGCCTTCAACGCCAATAAGGTAAGAGATGAAGTGAAAAGAGAGAGACTAAATCGATGCTAATGATGATCTTTCGTAGGATTGGGATCAGGTGTCTGCGTACAGCACGCACAGCACGCAGAGGCCGAGGATGTACGCCGTCGAGCAGCCGGGATCGCTCATCCAGGACGACATGAGGTCGCATTTCAGCTCGAAAGGTAATAAGGCCAGGTCCATTGCGGACGGTCAATCGCAGCACAGCTTCTCCAATCAATCCGGACGCTATTTGGCCGCAAACGCATTCCCCAGCAACCTGCTAGCTTCCAGACAAGGTACCAAATCAAAATCAAAAACAACAACAAACAAACAAACAAAGAATCTAACACACTAACTTGGTACCATGAACACTAGAGATAAATGCACAAATTTGTAAATTTCTTCAAAATTCATTTAAAATATTTAAAAAAAACCTAAGCTTACAAATAACATTAACAGAAAAGGTGAGTATCGCCAAAATATACAAAAAACCGCTTACTTAAAACCTTATTCTCACAAATCAAACAATGAAATACAAAAATCTTTCTGGAAGGCTTCAAAAAAAAAAAACACTTGCTTTGAATACAGTGTAAATATTAATTAATAGGAGACAATTCTGATTTTATTCAAAGCTCAACAAAACCTGCATAACATGAGTAGGACTACTCAATTTTGGAACGAACCAAACTTTTGATAATTACGTAAGTCGCTTCCGAAGATGTCGATGTTGTTGCATCGACTAGCATCAACTGTTGCTTCCTAATAAGGAAAATAAGTAAAACTCATCGTGTTGATCACATTCACATAACAATATCATTTTTAGTGCTGCATAAAAGGTGTACTACAATACTAAATTTGATCATCATCACTTAAATCATGAGATATAGTTAGTAAATTGGATGTCTTCACATTTCATTTCCATTTTTCTCAGTCACAACTTACACATTACACTAATTAAAGCTAAATATATAGGCTTTCTAAAAAGTCTAATAGTAGACATTATATCATTCCTAAGTAACCACACAAATCATATAAAACAATTGATATTCTCAACTAGCCTAACGTCATATTTGTGACTACTACGATTTTCCTGCAATTAATCATAAAATTTCAAAACCAGTTATGATTATTGTGAATGCTTCAATGTTGAATGACTAAAATGTATACAATAACCGCTTCCTTAAAACCTTATTCTCACAAATCAAACAACGAAATACAAAAATCATTCTGGAAGGCTTCAAAAAAAAAAACACTTGCTTCGATTACAGTGTAAATACTACTAATTAATAGGAGACAATTCTGATTTTATTCAAAACTCAACAAAACCTGCATAACATGAGTAGGACTACTCAATTTTGGAACGAACCAAACTTTTGATAATTACGTAAGTCGCTTCCGAAGATGTTGCTGCATCGACTAGCATCATCAACTGTCTAGCTTCCTAATAAGGAAAATAAAAGGTGTACCACAATACTAAATTTGATCATCAACACTTAAATCATGAGTAAATTGAATGTCTTCACATTTCATTTTCCATTTTTCTCAGTCACAACTTACACATTACACTAATTACAGCTAAATATATAGGCTTTCAGAAGAGTCTAATAGTAGACATTATATCATTCCTAAGTAACCACACAAATCATATAAAACAATTGATATTCTAATGTCATATTTGTGACTACTGCGATTTTCCTGCTATTATGATTATTGTAAATGCTTCAATGTTGAATGACTAAAATGTGTACAATAACCAATGTATGTCTAACAACAACAACAATCACACTACACCACCAAACCACAACAACAACGACGACGACGATCAGAAGGTGCGCTTCGCCCGCTTTTCAGATGTTCGCTTCTTTCTAACTGTACAAATAACACGATGAGGGGGGGGGGTCACGGGTTTTATGGTCATGGGTCATGGGATGTAGTAAATGGTTGGTCAGTGTTTTTGAGATTGCATAGAGGAAATTGGTGATCGTTTGCAGATTTGCGTCAGTCCCGTCAGTCGTTGGCCATGCAGTCGGACCGCTTGTCGCGGGTCGGCGGCCCCCAGCACCACCTCGTCCCGCACCACCACGCACCGCCGCCCACGCACTCAGTAACGTCGTCGACCCGTCGTTCCAGGCCGAGGTCCAGGTCCAGGGACCACCGTGATCACCACAACCGCCCGAGCAGCAGGTACAGCACGGCCGGTTCGACGCACACCCTGAACAACTACTGCGACAACTCGGACAACTGGACCGATCACGACATGGACATCTACATGGCTCGAAACCCGACGACGAGGAACGGTCTCGTTCCGTTATGAGAATTACAGAAATGTAAAAAATGCAATTGGTAATCAAACACAACACAAATGAACATGAACGACGAACGCAAATCCGAAGGAAAACAACAACATTTTCGATCACATCAAATTTAGCGATTTGTAAATACTTCTATTATATCAAAGAATATTTTTAGTATCTTAGTTTATAGACTACTATCTAGAATACATATAACATCTAAAGAACACCAATCAATAACATAACGACGTTTACAATTCAAAGTTATGTTACTGCAAAAATATTCTTGATGTTACATGAATCCAAGGTACAATTTAATACGACAAAAAATTGTCTGATTAAATCTGCAATATAAAATCAAATGGCTTAATTCCACTACTTCAGCTGGAATCATTCCATTCACTTACTACGCATTAGTAATTTATTATTATTATTATTATAATTATATCTTCCGTTTTTGTTTCCGCTCCGGCTATCCCGTTATTACGCTCAAAAACACACACTTGAACGAAATCAAAACGCGAATCATTGAAGATATTTCGGATACAGTGGACACGGGTTTCTATTACTATTATTACTATTTTTAATATAATACAGCGAGAATGATTTCTTATATTTTGTATGGGTGAACGTGCAATCGATCTGCTGCGTTTCTCAACCTTTTCCCCAACCAAAGAAAACGTTGAGAAAACAAACTTCGTGCAATTATAGGTTTGGATTGCGAACTGACACAGGAAAATGCATAAATCGTCCTTTTTTTCCCCAATTAGTGTAAGGATAATTAAACGAATATCCGGGTTGACAGATCCTTCTTTATAATTATTTTTAATTCTTGCATCTTGCAAAGTCGCACCCGAGTCTGAACTTTTTTTTTATATATATATCATTCACTTTGTGTTCTAATCTATTAATTATTATTATTATTATTTTAGTGTTACGTTACGCAAGGATTTCTACATGACACAAATTTGCATACGTACACATTTGTATGGGATTTCCTTACTCGTATTTGTACATACGTTAGTGATTTTGTATAAACTAATATATATTTCCCCAGCTAAGATTTATACATTTCGATATAATGAAAATTCCGAACAAAAAAAAATATGTATTCTATTGTATTTATATATATTTTTTTACATAAAATATATATTTTTAAATTCTGTGAATAACTTAATACAATCGTGTTTTCGTTTCAAGACCTTTTCTAAACTTCAATTCCCGTTTTTATTCTCATTTTAGGAAATCAAATTTGGGTAAAATTGGGGCCAAATGTTTCAATTTCAGTGAATAAATAAAGAATGCTATAAATTGTATTCTTACCCTGGAATCATGATGCTCTTCTCCCATCTGTACCGCATCTCTTGGACAAATTCGAACCAAATGTGAGCGAACGCTCTGTTTGCACCGAGAGAATGCAGAGCTTGGGATAAGACGATGCTCAACCTCCAGACCAAAGAATCCATTCTGCACGTCTTGAATCCTTTAAACATGTCCTCGTACTTTGAAGCCACATCCTTAGTAAAGAAGAAAATATTTTTGTTTGTAAAAGTAGTGAAATTTTCGAATTGGTTTTACTATAAACTTTGGTTTTTATATCTATTGTGATCGTTATTAAGAAATTTTTCATAATTACGCGTTTGAAAAACGCTGTGTTAAGGTATGTGACCAAGTATACACCAAATTCAAATTGTTATGCAAACTATTCCCAATTAACTTACGTATTCGTTATTTCCTTCGTCTTTCTTAAGAGGATCTGAATAAACGTTGTGGCTGTCCTCCTCGGCATCAGGGAAGAGGAAATACAGCATCGGTACAAGGACTTCTTCAGAGAGCGGAGCGACACCTTTGCGAGTCTTCCTGCTGGAATTCCTTGCAGCCCTCTTCAAAACGCTGCTGATTGTAGGCACTTTGGGTTCGGTCAACAGATCCAGAGGGTTCGAGGTTTCGGGTGGTTGCGCGTAATCGCCTAGGCAATCGTAGATTGTGCTCGCGTTGCCCAGAACGTGCAGAAAGTCCGTCAAGCAATCGCTGAGCAAACAGATTGGTTGATCTGTGATGTCCACCGAGACCGACCATTTCTCCGCTTGCGTTGGATCGAAGTTGCTGTAGTTCTCCGAGTCGACAATCATCATCTCCGGGACATCGTTCCAAGTGGCTTTCAGGTTTATACTAGCAATAGGATCAACTGTGACGCCCAACGGTAACATCAAGATTGAGTTGGTGCAGTTTTCGATCTCGTTGTCGGTGATGTCCTGTCTCCAAACGTAATTCCCGAAGTCCGTCAGTTGATACGTCGTCTGCACTGACACTATTATCGGATCAAGTGGCAACGGAGACATCAGTTTTGTTTTAAACAGATCCACGAGTCCTGTCAAATACTGACAGTGCTGCGGTCCCTTCCTCAGATGCACCATCTCGAAATTGGTCCTCGTTCCGTTCCCCTCGAACACTCCCAAATAACACCTCTGCCACTTCTCCCTGATCTGCACGAACAGAGGCAGATCGCAGTTGACATTCCCAACAACCGCATTCAGAGAGCTCAGCAGTATTTTGATCTCACTCTCCGACACCAGCGAGTTACTATTCAAAGGACTCAGCACTATGTACTCTTCCAATCCATACCACAACGACAAACAGTAATCACCATGACTGTTGACACCTTCATCCAGTTCGAAATCGAAACCATTCTCGATAGGATTCTTCGGTTTCTGCTCATCTTCGCACACACCATCCTTCTTGTAATAAGTCAAGGAGAAATCGACATCAGCAAACGGTAAGATCTCGCACTGACTCTCAAAACTTCCGAGCCGCAGTAATTTGCGTCCATCTAAAAAACAAATGAACTGAAGCAAACAAATTTCAAAACATAAAAAAACAAAAGGTATATCTCTAACCTTTTGTGCTTGTCGATTTCCAATCGTGGATTATCTCCTCGATCCTGGCAATGAACAACTCCCATTTGGAAGCGGTGGTGAAATCCTGATGGTAGAATTCGCTCTCATCGATTTCCTCGTTCATCTTAGATTCAATGGGAATCTTATTGAGAATGTTTGAAGGAATGATCTTGCGGAACGGAACAGCTGTTTATTTGTTTTGGTTCTGTCAAAATCAAAACATCTCTTCATGTTGCACCATCTATGATTTTCTTATATAATTGCACAAAGCGCTCATTGTAGATTTCCCAATTTACTTTAAATGTTAATTTAAATAAGTATAATTTTGAGAGCAGATTACAAGAAAAGTACACAAGACACAACTATCTAATTATACTCATTTTAAACTGTATAATTTTAGCTTTAATTTGAATGCTCAATCATTATTATGCTGTTTGTATTTATCGAGTAATATGATTAAATATAAAGACGCACTTTATAGTATAAAAATTACAATTTGAGATAAAGATATAATTAAATAACTATTTCTTTATTTTTCTAATTGATTTTGTAGTGCAATTAATGTTCTTGACAATCTAAAATTGATTCTTTAAATATTACTTATGTAATAAATTTAATAAAATATACTGAATAGGCAACCCAATTTACTTTAAATATTAGTTTAAATAAGTACAATTTTGAAAGCAGATTACAAGAAAAGTACACAAGACACAACTATCTTATTATACTCATTTTAAACTGTATAATTTTAGCTTTAATTTGAATGCTCAACCATTATTATGATGTTTGTATTTATCGAGTAATATGAACAAATATAAAGACGCACTTTATAGTATAAAAATTACAATTTGAGATAAAGATAGAATTAAATAACTATTTCTTTATTTTTCTAATTGATTTTGTAGTGCAATTAATGTTCTTGACAATCTAGAATTGATTCTTTAAATATTATTTATGTAATAAATTTAATAAAATATACGGAATATATACATAGGCACCCCAATTCACTTTAAATATTAGTTTAAATAAGTACAATTTTGAGAGCAGATTACAAGAAAAGTACACAAGACACAACTATTTAATTATACTCATTTTAAACTGTATAATTTTAGCTTTAATTTGAATGCTCAATCATTATTATGCTGTTTGTATTTATCGAGTAATATGATTAAATATAAAGACGCACTTGATAGTAGAAAAATTACAATTTGAGATAAAGATAGAATTAAATAACTATTTCTTTATTTTTCTAATTGATTTTGTAGTGCAATTAATGTTCTTGACAATCTAGAATTGATTCTTTAAATATTACTTATGTAATAAATTTAATAAAATATACGGAATATATACATAGGCAACCCAATTCACTTTTAATATTAGTTTAAATAAGTACAATTTTGAGAGCAGATTACAAGAAAACTACACAAGACACAACTATATAATTATACTCATTTTAAACTGTCTAATTTTAGCTTTAATTTGAATGCTCAATCATTATTATGCTGTTTGTATTTATCGAGTAATATGAACAAATATAAAGACGCACTTTATAGTAGAAAAATTACAATTTGAGATAAAGATAGAATTAAATAACTATTTCTTTATTTTTCTAATTGATTTTGTAGTGCAATTAATGTTCTTGACAATCTAAAATTGATTCTTTAAATATTACTTATGTTATAAATTTAATAAAATATACGGAATATATACATAGGCAACCCAATTCACTTTTAATATTAGTTTAAATAAGTACAATTTTTAAAAGCAGATTACAAGAAAAGTACACAAGACACAACTATCTAATTATACTCATTTTAAACTGTATAATTTTAGCTTTAATTTGAATGCTCAATCATTATAATGATGTTTGTATTTATCGAGTAATATGAACAAATATAAAGACGCACTTAATAGTATAAAAATTACAATTTGAGATAAAGATAGAATTAAATAACTA